GAATCATTTTAATTTGTTTAAAGTATGCCATGTTTCTTAATGTTATGGGAACTGCGTATTCGATCGCTAAAGTACGACCAGTCTAAAATAAATCAAATTTGTTTTTATCTTCTTAACGTGTAAAGTATGAAATCTAAAATGTCTGCTGTAAACAAGCGTCGAACCACGGGTATTTTTTACAGCTGTTTATTTGGTTATAAGTGTATTGGTTTACTTGCAAACCCGTTTCTTCTGATTTTTGAAACCATTTAATTACATTGGTTTACGTCAACCAAATCAAAAACTAATGATTAAACAAATTTAAACAAATTGAGGTCTTTTATTGGTATTTTTTTCAAACTTCTGCGTTGAGCCGTTTTCGAGATCTGGGAAATCCCAAAACGTTACCGCAGCAAAATCTTAAATAACTAAAGAACTATACCACACACAAATTTTGCTATTTATAAACATTTACTACGCAACAAAAGCTATCTATTCATGTATTTGGTTCCGTGCTGAAACTAATTTTTGAAAGACTATTTTGCCTGGGTAACGTTTCAAACGTTACTCCAGCAAAATTTGTTTTTCTCAAATAACTTAAAAACTACAATTCAAACAAATTTTGCTATTAGTAAACAAATTGCTCCTCATGATACACTAATTATTTGTTTAAGTCTCATCTCTCTAAAGCAAAACATTTTGCCTGGGTAACGCACACGGATACGAGATCCTGTTATAAATGTGATGCCATGATTGTGAGTAAGGGTATATTTCGCCATTGATTATTCCAATATAAGGTAATCATACTAATATTATAAACTAACTTTTACACGTGGCTTTGCCCGCGTATTACTGATTTATCCCATGGGAGCATTTTATCGGAATAAAATGTATCCTTCGCGGAGAACCTAACGGGTTGTCGGGGCTCCGGCTCGACGTGCAGGAGAAGGAACAGGGTGGTTTTTAGTCAGTAAGAGTCTGACACTGAGGTGGGAGCAGTCATTCGATGATTTTCCCCCCTTAAAAAAAAAAGTAGTAGGTATACATGTGTAACACCCTTTACTCTTCCCACGGGCCCTTAGAACCAAGAGCCGAGGAGGGAATACTACTTCTGATCTGAACTTCTCCAACCCACCAGCTGAATGGATTATGACAAACACTCGTATATAAAGGAACCACCCTTCTGGGGTCCTAGGGCTTGCAATAACCCGCGCCAGCCACTAGACTGAAAAGCAATGCTGTGAGCAATATAATTGAGAATGAGTCATGTTCGTATCGAATTAAACACAGTAGGCCAAACCGCTCATCGTTTCCAAAAATGGAAAAATAATTATAAACTCAAGTTAATTAAATAATTCGTGTCTCTAATAGAATAATCGGTTGCTAAAAGCAACCTGTCAAACATCTAGGATCTGTTTCTGATGTAATATGAAGATGAGAAGTTTCAAAAGTGGCCAGTGCCTTCGTCAAGGTCGTTGGCGATCGTCCGTTCAATACATGACCGCCACTCGTGCGCACATCAGTACGGGGTAGCATACAGCATGGACAAGACTTTGATAGTGTTTGCGTGCCTTTGTGGCTTCGGTAAGTACATAAAAATTATATTATTTAAATAAAAAATAAATTAAGATAAAGTGAACCTTATTTTTTAGTTTCAGTAAGGTTGTTTTCCGTTTGCATTAAATTTTTATAATAAAAAAAATATTCTCATAATTTTAAAACCAAATTTTACGTCGAATTTTCTCATAATGATCAATTGAAATGAGATCGTCTCGGGTTTAGTTTATTCATTAAAACTCTAGGAACACAAGTGTCCTATACATATTCTATAGGGATTCCATTAACTTCTTGTTCTAATATAAACGGGTTCTATAGACTAATTAGCGAATAATTATCTTGTTAAATGGCTTAAGCTAGGACTTAACAATGGAGAAGACTATAATTATACTGTAGATAATCATGACACGCTCTCGGCTGCTTAATTGAACAATTGTTTTAAATTGATAATTAAATTCGTATATAGGAGTTTCCTTAATTTTTTTTGTGCTGGGTAATGGGTATAAATTCGCAAGTTTGACTCATTACTTATGTTAGACTTGTTAGGTTAGGTTAGTACAGTCTACTGTTTTTTGTGATAAAATATCTCGTTAGGTAAATACCAACATAGCTAGGAAATATCGAGGTATTTGGTTACGGAAAATTAGAAGCTGTGTTTGATATTTTTCTAACGTCGCCTCCAAATAATTAAAGATTAATTGTTGTTTTTGGTTTTCGTCACGGGTTGTTTCCTAAATTTAATTATTCACTAAATATTCCAAGTCTCGTAAATATTCCGCAATACGTAAGGGTCGGTTTAGACAATTCTCCGGAGAGTTTCAATTCAAATTAATTTTGCAAATCGATTACCTACACACAAAACCTTCTTTTTCCAAAATGTTGGTCCAGTAGATAGTTATCTTAGATCACCCACCGCAAATAGTCAACAGCATCTTTTAAATTTCCGGTAAGTAGTTGCGATCCCTAACCCGGCTGCAAAGCTTGAAGATTTTTACATAACATAACATCACGCCTTTTATTCCTTAAGGGGTTGACAGAGGTGCACATTACAGCAGTTAATGCCACTGTACAATGTAACACCCACTTTTAACTATTTATTTATGCTATGAATCCCATGTAATAGGTGCTATTGCCATATACCGGGCACAATTCCAGACTACGTGCTACTACTGAGATTTTTTTAAAATACAGTAATACTTTGGCCGACGCGGGAATCGAACCCGAGACCCCTTGCCCGGCAGTCGCACTTGCGACTACTTGGTCAACGAGGCAGTCAACATTTTTACTATTTTTGACAAACCCTACCAAACGTTTCGTTATTTTCTTCTCCTCTTATAATATCTTCTGATTCACTTCGTTGCGGGAACCAAGAGTTATTCATGTCCCTGGGACGCGCCGGACTTCAGTGTTCCGGTGTTTTCATGGTTGTATCTACTGTAGATCCTGACTTACAGGACTTGCAGCGGTTTTGGCAGATTGTGGCGGGCTTGACCATCTTTAAAAAAAACCCTTCTATACGCTTAAAATGAACAAATTCCGGTTGATAACGACGAAGAGTCTAAGAAGGCAGCCTCTCTGATTACTACCTAAGCTTTATCTAACTCTAGACTTCTAGATTTTGGTCTAGACAAACTTGTTTGTTAGTTTAACAGTATACTTATGACGTGGAAGGCATATTTTGTAATATTCTGCGTATTTTAGCATAAATATTTCCATAGAAATCATGTTGCTTCACAAGACACGAATGTGTGTCGTAAAATGCGATAAATTCTTATCACATATTTGAGAAGATGAATTTTAAAATGACTTAATACGATGCAACTGTGAAGTTCGGAATATATTAAGAACTACAAGGTTAAAATGGCACCTCTTTTACATAATGAACTAAGTATAGTTTGAGTAGTCGCGGAGAACCTAACGGGTTACCGGGGCTCCGGCTCGACGTGCAAGAGAAGGAACGGGGTGGTTTTTATTCAGTAAGAGTCTGACACTCCCTCCCGCCTCACCCAGGCGGGAGTAGTCATTCGATGATTAACCCCCTTAAAAAAAAAGTATAGTTTGAGTAAAGTCTGTTTGTTTGTCTTGAATAACGAAGTTAAGTGGGGAAACAAGATGTTTTGAATTCGTTAGAAGGATAACACAAATTAGTTCAGACTTCTGACTACAAACACGGACCCTAATATAGGGTAGATGCCTAATCTTTATTTTAATGTCTGTCTGGTAGATTATTTTAAATCATTAGACACGTAATTTTTTATTTTCTTACAGAAACGAATACTTTCGACGATATATTGATGTGAAATGTCGCGTGACGTCACTTCTATGTACATTTTATACGTAGAAATGACTTTTTAGCCCTCACTCCTAAATTTTAATTCGTTTTATCTAAGTATTGTTTACTTATACGACATAATAAAAAAATACGTGTCTAATATTATTTTTTTAGCTAACTTACCATTCCAATTGTAGCAGTTAAACGGCAATTAATGTTGTAGAATAGGTGCCTTAGCAAAATAAAAAAAAAACTATGTCATTTAAAGAATTCGCTATCGACATAAATAATTACATAATATATTGTTTATATTACACCGATTTGAAGATTTATTTGACCCGTTAATGGTAAAATAACATTTAAAATCACTTGCAAAAGGTCACTAATGCGTTAATAATGTGCCACAACGGAGTTTCAAACAGCCTTTTGAGTTTAATTTAATTGCAAGGTATCAAAGATGGCGATGAGATTATCAAACCACAAAGTATTGCAATATATAGAAACGTAAATAGATAATTGTATGGTGATTAATTTGTTTAATGTTTCATAAGTCAATCTTTCTTTAACCGACTTTAAAAAATAAGAGGATCTCTGTTTGACCTGTATGTATGTATGTATGTGTGTGTGAATGTTTGTGCACGACTGAATAGCGTTTGAATCGATTTTGATCCGATTTACAGAAATGTGTTTTAAATCCTTTCGTTGTCGTCTCCTGAGTCTCCTCTAATCTCCTCGGAGAATGAATATTCAATAAGTATTATTGGGTTTTTAAAAATCTCAGTTCTAGCACGGAGTCTGGAAATGTGCCCGGTATATGGCAATAGACTCACCCCCTATTACATGGGACTCGTAACATTAATAGTGAAAAGTGGGTGTTACTTCTGTGTGTACCTCTGCCTACCCCTTCGGGGATAAAGACTAGATAATGTTATGTGATGTTATGAATATTTACAATTAAAGTAAAGTAAACATTTCGAATACATTTCATCAATTCTTGAAAAGCTAACCACTCAAGATGACTTCAACAAAATACCGAAAATTCAGTTTTATTTCTTAAGTTTTTATAGTGAGTAATACTATAAATATTGTTGAGATTTTTGCACATTGTGAATAACTGAATGTTGTAAGACTTGACATATAACATTATGAGGCTATGAGACATCGCTTTCACGCGTAATCTGCGCAACCAATCTTGATAAGCCTAAAAAGTTTTGGGTATTCTTTAACTAGCTACTTCCACGCGGTTTTAACCACGCTGTTCGGCACCTTTTAATCGTAGCGTGATGTTTTATAGCCTCTAGCCTTCCTCAATAAATGGACTATCCAACACAAAACTATTTTTTCAAATCGGACCAGTAGTTTCGGAGATTAGCGCGTTCAAACATACAAACACTTAAGCTTAAGAGTAATAAGATTGTATCTTTGTTCCTTAACTTTAGCCCGACTTCAAACAAGAAAAAAAATCCCATTTTCCTGATCCCATACCATTGCACTAAAATTAATATTCTCTTCACTCCTAAAACTAGTTGGGATGACATGGAAAACCTTTCTATTTTTGGGAACAACGCCTAGGAAATGCGGGATTTAGTAATGGTCACATTTAGCAACTAAGGGCCACCGATAGATTTAACTAAATTTATTTTAATTGTAATATTCTAATAATGTTTCTCATTTACTTGATAAATTTGTATGTCTTTTACGGCAAAACATAGTGGACTATATTTATATGTAAGACCTTATTATGTAAACTACCTATGTTTAACAAATAAATGATTCTGATTCTAGACTAATTTCCAAGCCAACTAACGCTACCCTATGGTGCTATAAGGAACTTTCGACTAGATTTTTTGGCTAGGTGTTGCCTCTTAATCACTTAGAAACCGAAGATTTAATAGATTGCTTTCAGAAGGATTTTCATACAACCATGTACTTAGTATTCCTACCACATGCCCATAGATTTTTCTACATACGTTGTCGACGAAAATGAGTCAACACTAACTGTTTTATCATTCTTCTCTCGCTCAATAAGCCATGGATAATCTCCGCAAATCTCCACTGACATACATTATTGTAGATCCCACAAAAGACCGACTATTCTCAGTATTCCATTCAAAGCAATTTTTTTCAATGTAACATTTGCATAATAATGATTCATTCCGGTCATTCCCGATGACTTGAGTTCTCAAAATAGATGCTAAGTGCTGGCTTAGTGCTTTAACTTCAATTGAAATTCAAAGTAGGTTCTTACAACTTATGACAAAACCGCCTATTTCTGCATAGATTTCGTGTTACTATACCGAAAATGTTAGTTTACTGAGTATTTTTAGGTTTTCCTGTGTATGAAATATACTTAACCGGTAATTAAGAGCAGAAACCAGTACTTATATGCAATAAGCTCATTCTCTATTATTTGGGATTCATGTCCAACTAAAGTAGCTGTACCACATCAACTATATTAGTGTCTTTACATAATATTAATTCCCTAATGTTTTCCGTAGCCGCCGCTCAATTCAATAGCTTCGGCAGCTTTGGTGTCTCATCAAACGCCGGAGCCTACAACAACTACAACAGAGGCCAGCAGCCCCAGAACAGACAGATCCAGGAAGCCCCCAGACCCACTGGAGTGTGCAAGGAGCTGAACGAACGGTACCCCGTACCTGGAAGCTGCGACAAATATGTTGAATGTCTTGTAAGTACCATCCCGATGATTGTCTCCTATAGATTAATGACGACATCATTTTTTTATGAGTTCTCAAGTACTAATTGAAGAATTATACATACATTCATCTAAGATGATTTAGATGCCACTGACAAACGGTAAAGGAAAATTACGACTTAAATATCTCAGATTTCTAAAACCCACCCATCTTCAAAAGTTCCAACTAAAAACTGCATATGCAATTCCCTTTTTAATCCCAGACAACAATTTCCATTCATGAACCTTCAGCCTAAATTATTCACGAATGCGTGTGGGAAAGTGTTGACACACTTGGATCTTACTTTTAAAATAGGTCGTGACTATATTAAAGCCAGTACAAAGAGACAGACAGACATAAACGCCATTCTTTTGTGTATATGTGTATAATCACACGTCGCGTCTCATGAATAATTCGCTTAATAATCGCAGATTCTGGTAATAAAGTTCGTGTTATTCGATAAACGTGATGCGAATTTGATATTTGTGATTATTATTAGCTCATTAGGTTTTGTCTTGTATCTATACGGATATTGTGATTGGGGATTTTATTGCTATCAATACATAGTATAAAACAAAGTCGCTTTCGCTGTATGTCCGTATGTATGCTTAGATCTTTAAAACTACGCAACGGATTTTGATGCGGTTTTTTTTAATAGATAGAGTGATTCTTATGGAAGGTTTATATGTATAATACATGCATATTGCACCCGTGCGAAGCCGGGGCGGGTCGCTAGTTTTTTATAAATTATGATTTTAATGTTGCCAGGCTCTGGGACTATAAGACTAGATACAAATGCTTATATGTACGTCTGATTGTGTTTTGTGTGTAGCTACTAAAACCTATCTGGAACCTTATTTGGAATGGATTTGTGTATTTTAAAAGCTTAGGATGCCTTGTAATGATTGGTCGTCTGGTTGGCCATATTACGCCATTTATGCGACTTACCTAGGCCTCTCTTTCTCTTCTACCTCTGGATATTTCTCTCATAATATAAAATTATAGTCATGCTTAAGAATAAATAGCATCAAATGAAATATTTACCATGCGTTGACCATTAGCAATTTGACCTATGACATTATTGGTCCAAACGACTCAGTATACGCATTTTAAGCATTAGGTCAAGAGAATGGCTCGTAACAACTGCTAAATATTGTGGTCACAATTATTTAGCAATTTTTATCTATAGAGCTTATAGATACTAATTTGTGCACACAACAATATGAAGTAAATAATACATCTGATGAAACTTATTTCCTGCAATGCAAAACAGTTTAATAAAAGCAGCCAATGATAATAATGATCATATATTCAGTACTGAAATGTTTAGAATAATAGATAATAATGAGTTTTATTTTGTCCATAGAACGGAACTGCTGAAGAAAAGCTGTGCCCTGATGGTCTTCGCTTCAACCCCAACGTGAACTTCAACGTGTACCCGTGTCAATACCCCAACGAAGTGTCATGCCTCGAGCGATCCGCGCTACGTGAGTAGAATTGCAGATTTTACATATAATACAAAACTAGAGGTACTCAAAGTTGTTTGGATAGCATGATATTTTTCCTTTTTGTGGAAGCTAAGGTATATCGTCAATTAGTACCAACAGATTTTGTCCCATAAAGATTAATTTACAGTGAATATGGATGCTCCTCAAAAATAAAACATTAATTAAAAACGCATGAAATCCTTTATTAAAAATGAACGACATGAACGTATTCTGGTTAATTATGATGAAAACATAAAAACTTTTCTTGTCTAAAGTTATAAAGATTATTGATTTGCTCTTCCGTTCATTACTTAACCTACTGATATATTAACACTACTCACTCACTCTACCAGGCCTCGACAAGGACCTATAAATCGTCGAATACTTGTAATTCTTGTAAATACATGTCACTATTCACATAGTTTTAACGCATCTGTGGTTAATGTTCAACCCTGAACTTCTATCGCACCTAATGAGTCAAATTGGTTTTCCATTAAATTATCATAGGTCAAGGTTTTTAGATTTGATGACCCGCAAATGTTGAGTACCGTAGTCATTTTTATCATCAACTGATCTTATTCTTCTTGCCGCCTTTCGCAGATTTTAGATTAATTCAGATATATCAACCTTTAATTCTATTTCTGATACATGGTGCGTGGTCAGAATGTTTATTGCGCAAACAATGTTCATTTGTCAAGGTAACCCAACTGAAGATGTTATCGAGATTAGGCTCATTTCATATTAATGTCAGGAAAACAGGCTGCTTTACGAAATGGATTGACTCAATGATTTAATTCATGGACATCTATGGTGTCGACAGTTCTGACTTACTGATTAATTTTATTGCATGTCACACCTTGTTAACGAATTATCTCAGCTTTTCCTATAACATGTTCAATTGGTAGAACAAAACGTTCTATTATAAATAATTGAAGTGGATACTAATACCAGAATTTTAGTATCTGTACGAAATCTGGTATGCCACCATTTCTTACTAACAATAAGCACACCTCCCTCTTCCGTAAAATAACCAGCTCAAACATATATCAACAACATTTTACTAAATTTCAGAGCCTGCCCAGCCAACTGAACAATGCGAGCACCAGTTTGGATACTACAAACTTGGAGATGCCCGCAACTGCAGTTACTTCAGAAACTGTGTCAATGGAGTAGGCTACGACTTCCAGTGCCCTGAAGGTCTTGCCTGGAGCTCTTCTTCCTACCGCTGCGAGTGGCCTGATGAGGTCGACGACTGTGATGCTGAAGGTAAGAAAGGAATAATAATCTATCATCATAATAGAACAAAGATTACAGCTAAACTAGGATAAGTTTGGTTAGGAATACAGTATGAAATAACTAATGAAATGAATTAAAGGTTCAACTTTCAAGGGGACAACAGACAGAAACAGAAGTTTTCTATAAGTATAGTATTAAGAGCTAATCATCTGCCAAGATATATTTTGATGGTCCTTCTCAGCCATTACATGTCAATCTAGACCTAGGAAAGGATTGGGTTACAGTACAGTCTTTGACGTCAAAGTTTGCATGATTTGCATACATGGATATTTTGTATTTTTTATATTCAAGAAATTTTTCATGATTATGATTATCCCTATACTCGTTTCCCATCGGACCAGTTCCTCAGCACGTGCAGTAATTACAAATTAATTCACTAATTTCAATTTCTAATGAATATCCTTGTTCGTGAAATATAAAAGTTGTAGTCATACTTGTTTAACGGCTTAGAAACTCATTTTATTATTTATATTACATATTTAATCGGTCTCTTCCTTTTTTTCTTTTGTTCTATAAATATTAATTTTAATTTAAATTCCTTATTGGTATGTTCTCATGCAGAGAAATATACCTCTTTGATATTTTTACATTCACTACAAAGGTTAAAATCCATAATCCCTGTCTTGCACATGCTGAACTGGTCACATTTCACCGTAGACTTGGGACATGAATATGTACCCATTAGTATTTATAAACTAACAGTATAATCTGTACATATCACCTATTTTTAGCGCGTGAAATATAGTTTATTTCTTTCTTTCTTTAGTCTGGAACTGTATGCTTCCTATTGCATGGAAATTGGAACCCAACTGACCAATATGTCCATTTAATAGTCCCTTGCATTTACTTGCCCTTTAGAAAATAAGACGGGATAGATTAAGTTCTACATTATTCTCATCTTTATTATCTATTCGAACCTCTTTGACAATTTCCACACATGGGTTACTTAACTGATAAACAAGTCGCGCGGTCACCGTCCCTATTGTGAAAAGATTTGCCACTTGTGAAATGAGCCTACCTATGTCGTAAAATTCAATACTTACGATCACCCAATTATAAAGAACTCAGTTTTAACACAAGTTCTTTGTTTTCCTTGTGTCTTGTTGATGAAGACTCTACCTACTTACTAAGCGTAAGATGTGCATCTTTTATAGATACTGTTTAACCATTGTATCACATTATGTATAGGCCAATAGTTATGCAGGGCAATGTTTAAGATCTCTTGCATTCAAACTTTTAGGAAAAAATACCTACGAAAATCGTTCCATTATATCCATTATCTTAAATTTAAGACCCAGTGCCAACCCCAACTTATGTCAGAAAAGACCACGATGATCTAGTAGAAAGTAGTCCACTCTTAATCAAGTTTCATAAAGCCTAAGTAAATCTTATTTGTTTCAGCTTTCCTCGGATTCCGCTGCCCCGAGGTCCCTATCTCCAAGGAGCTGGGTGCCCCCGCTGGCTTCAGATACTACAGGTCTGTATTACCGTATTACGTAACATGTGCAATATTTAATTTATATGCCAAATACTCAACTATTATTAGAGTGATAGATATTGAAATGCCAAGAACTGGTTACTTAATAGGCGACCGGTCAGCAGTGTATGCTTAAATGTCATCGGATGAGCTGTGACCTTGCTTACATAACCTCGTTATTAGAAATACCAGCGGTTTGCTAACGTCCTCTTATGACGCACTAGTTGAGCTTGCGACTCCGTCTACTTTGATTCCAGTGCAATTACAATTTAAAATTATCTCTCTATGACTCGTTTATCTGAATGGTAACTTGTACAACTGTAAATAAGATCTGAAATTGATTTCTGGGTTAGATAAATTGCTTATTTTTTTATGGGGTGTGTATTCATCGAGCAACTTCTCCCGCCCGGCTGAGGTGAGAAGGAATGTCAGACGCACATTGAGTAACAACCACAACTAGATGAAGTGTTTGAAATGCAATAGATATTTTACAATTCTCATTAATAGCACACTAGGACCCATCAAACCGTCATCACGATGCTCAAACATGATAAACAATAAAATTTTAAAGTTTCTTATAGTAACAAATCAAGAGAAAAACAGACCAACAAAATACTTCTAACTTTTAGATGATGAGATGATATTTAGGTATAGCTGGTACTTATGTATATTACACATTCCTGTGGTACCACTTTTTATAAGTCAGTCAAATACCATCTAGTTTTATTTCGCTTTGAGATGATTTTTCTCAGAATATGACCTCGGACTCGGACGGGCAATGTCAATAGTTGCCTAATTTATTAGTCTTCATCTCGTTCGTAATTATGATATTTGAAGCAAGAATGCAAAAAAAAATTCCATTAACGAAAAATGTAAGGACATTATTGACATTCATAGTGTTTGCATTACAAATTGTGTTTAGACTAGACTGGTTTATTGATTCAATGCTATCGCTAAGCATAAGTTTTGGGCTCGACTTCCCATTTCATGCCAAGTCTTTTAACCGAATTCAAAAAAGAGGTTCTCAGTTTAACCTGTATGTATGTATGTTTGTTTATATGTAGGTATGCTTGTATGTATGTTTGTGAGCGAGTGCGGTTGTGCGGTTTTCAGAAAAGTATTTGTTATACTTAGGTTACATTAGGAGAAGATTTTAGTATATTAATTAACCGACTTAAAAAAGGGTGTTGTGGTCAGTTTTTCTAAACATCGTTTATGAAAAAAATATTATTTATATTTAAATATCTCAATTAGGTAGAACACGGAGTTATTATTTGGAATTCTGCATTGAGATGATAATAGTGTACACTACATTAAAATGTACATCTACTTAACTGAGCTAGACTTATTCGTAAATAGATTTCGACTATAAGTTTTGGGATTTTTTGGGATGAATTCGGAATTCAGCCACGTATACTCAAGCCCATTTAGAGCATTGTATACTCGTACTTAACCTGAAACACTACTAACTATTACTGTCAATATTACAGGGCCGAGAACAACTGCCAGAAGTACTTCCTCTGCATCGGCTCCAAGCCCCGTGTGCTCTTCTGTGGCAGCAACACAGGTTATGATGAGCTGACGAACACCTGTGTCTCAGCTGACGAAGTCCCTGCCTGCCCCTCTGAACTCAGGGCCCAAGCTGCCCGCGTTAGGGAGGAAGAAAAACAACTCCTCGCCAAAGAACTGGAATTCAACGCCAAAACGACAAACAAGAGGCGTTACCAATATAACTAAATTAATAAACCTCACAATAGCATCAAATGCCATCCCCGATGCACATTTTGAGACAACCCTGTTTCAAAATTACTTCTAGTCTAAACTTACTTTTGAGTTACCAACGTTTGTGTTATAGAGTACGATAATTGTTTTATTATTTGTATTGTTATACATTACCATCTCCCCAGTTTTGTACCAGGCAACCATGCCAACTAACACTAAGAATTTAGGGTAAGACTACATATCATAAGCATTAACTGTTAAGCTACAAGTTTCTATGTTTTGTATTTTATTATGTTCAACTACAACATTGTTTTAAACTGTCAAACACCAAGCGGTCACCGGTGACCGCAACCTATTGTTCTATAATTGTGTCTACAAAACCGGTACTCGACGAGTTAATCTACGTCTTCTTAGAAGAATGATACCAGTACCAAAATAACGGTATTATCACTAAATTGTATTGTCTTGCTACAATATTACAATAAAATGTCCGAAATTAAGAACGTGTTTTTAATCACCCTGGATTTTACCACAGTACTGTAAATTTCTTTACAATTAACAAATGACAATTAAGTAGATACTAGTTATTGATAACCATTTTTTGGTATAAAAACTAAGTGTGTCGAGGTTATTGTCACCATTCGAGCTTTGGGCATTCAAGGAACAACAGTACCTACAATAAAAACAAAATGTTTACCTACATTTGTGCCGTCCTCATCGTTGCCTGTAAGTAACTTCCTTTGTTTTGGATTATTGATTTTTGTCTTTTCAGTTTTACTATTATCTGCCCTATAAATTTAATTCATCATTGAAACATTCAATCTCTTTCCTTATTCCTGTTGAATTTTTAATTTAAATTTTCTTTTCAATACTTCGTGGACTATAAAAATATGGTCATAGTTCTGCACAATTTCAACCTAATAAATATGTATAATAATAGAAAAATGTAATGGTTAAATATAAAGTGATCATTTACCTATGTTCTTTATACCATCGCGAATTGAATATTAAATACCCTACATTTCTTTTACACAGGCAACATTCAAGTAATCCTATCGGAAGACGCGCAGTATGTTCGGAGTCCCATTTGCCAACAGAAAAATGGTTATTACAAAGTGGACGCTAGCTGCGACGCTTACGTAGAGTGCCTCGTAAGTAATTTTTTATATTATTAATAACGAAACGATCAAACCGAAATATATCTCATTTAAATCCTATCCAACGCAGTCAAACGCCTTAGACAGATCCAGAAAAACTACTCTTTGAACATATCTCATAGAGACTTGAAACTATTTTCTTTCAGTCATTATTAAGTAATATTTAATTATTCCACAGAATTACCAAGCCATTGACATGGTCTGCCCTGATGGTCTTCATTACGACCTTGAAGCTAAATGGCCTGGCTACCCCTGCGGATATCCCATGGATGTACCCTGTGTAGGCCGTGGTGCTGCCCGTAAGTTACAGAACCAAAATTAATATTTGAAAAAAAAATGAAGAAAAATAAAATGTTGCAGACCCATTTAGACTACTTCATTAAACAAAATGTCTGCAGCTAATAGACTTGCACGGGTTATAATAACTTAAAGCTTAACACACAATTTAGTAATTTCAATAAACTATAACAACCAATCTCGTTTCTTGCAGAAGCCGCTCAGCCAACAGCAGAATGCCCTCATCAGTACGGCTACTTCCCATCACCCCTCGCCACTGTAAACTGTGGCCAGTACCGCATGTGTATCGGTGGCAAGGCTATAGAAATGAACTGCCCCGCTGGTCTGGCCTTCAACCCTGAATCTGGACGGTGCGACTGGCCTGACCAGGTCCCTTCATGCAAAGCTGATGGTATGTATTGTTTAATGTTATATTTTAGCTGACCCCGTGCAAGTTGATCTATTTCGACCTTTAAATGTAGAACTTCATCGTACTTTGAAAATTACTGTCTGACAGCAATACATTTGCATGCTTACTATGCATTTCAAAGTGAACAAGTTAACATAACATAACATCACGCCTTTTATTTCCGAAGGGGTAGGCAGAGGTACGCATTTCGGCATGCCACTGTACAATGTAACACCCACTTTTCACTATTTATGTTATGAATCCTATGAAATAGCGGGTGAGCCAGGCACAATTCCCGACTCCGTGGTACTACCAATTTTTTTTTTAAGAAACCCAGTAATACTTTGCCCGACAAGGGAATCCAACCCGAGACCCCTTGCCCGGCAGTCGCACTTACGACCACCCGGCCAACCAGGCAGTAAACAAGTTATTAATATAATTAATTTACATTACAGACTTCCTCGGGTTCTCCTGCCCTGCTCCCCCAGTTGATGCTGACGGTGCGCCCTTGGACGTCGTCCTAAACTACAAGTAAGTAAAACTTATTGTTTTTTTTTATTAAAATCAACTAAATTATTTAAGGCTCCACCGAGTCTTTGTCAAATATACTCGTTTTGTATACAGTAATAACATCTGTTATCATAGTTGAGAAATAAGCTATGACAACAGCAATGAAATACAAAAACCATTGCAGATGCTCTAAATCAGCTTTATCTTCTAGATTTCCTTACAAAACTTACAGATTGTTTACGATTAAACCTTATTAACTATTGTTTTTCTTATTCACAGATACAACAACAACTGCTACTATTTCTTCTCGTGTGCGAAGGGACATGCTCGGCTACTCGCCTGTGATGAGGGTCTTGCCTTCGACCCTGCTTCGGGAAAGTGCATCGAAGCTGAATACGTCGACTGCGGATCCAACCACTAAAAACTGCTTTAAATAATTAATAGTCGAATTGAAATAATAAATATTTATATATGAAATGTCTGTCTTTCCCTTGTCATTCATTCTACCAAGTAATAACTTCAGTCAACGCTAAATTATTTAACTGTTTTAAATGTCTTACAATTTACCTGTAACTACATAAATGTCAAAAGAAAGAACATTGACATTAAAAAATAGGTAATCTTTAACTTAAAATTACTTAGGCAATAAAGATTAAAACAAGAATTAACTTAATGAAAGTATGATTACAGTATTAATTGCTATTTCATTACAAGAGTCATTAATTGTTAGTTATACTATACTCTTAGAAACAGATAAAAACATATTTATTTCATCTGTATATACAACTAGCTTCTACCAGCGTTCCACAATCTCACAAACTTTGACATTTATAATATTTGTAACATTTTCTGATTCTGTACATAGGTACTTACAGAATACATACGTACAGGAAAACAAATACACAGGTACAGAATCAGAAAATCTGTAGACATCTCACTATTAAATGATTAATCTATGTATTTTCAATCATTTTTTCTTATATCTCTCAACTTACTTGAAATACCACATATAATTTTATCCAACTCAGGGAACGAGAGACCTCATCCTCTTCTCCATTGTGTATAATGTAGTAAAATTATAAATAAATAAATCGCCTGAAATCTGATTACACATCATAATATAATTATTATAATTGTCTGATTATATTTTAATTTTCTCGACTTTGAGAAGGCTTTCGATAGTGTCGATTATTGGATCATGTTTAACTCTCTTCGTTGCAGCCTTTATGTTCAGCACTTTGGTATACTAAAGCAATACGATAGAGCCACAATGCAGGTCAGACTACGGAATCTTTTTTACTATAATAAAGTAAAATAAAATAAATCAGAGTAGGAGTGCTCCAGGGACATATCATTTCACCTAAAATGTTAATCACTGTCTAGAGAAATGTATAAAATTTAATCCAAAATTGTATCATGTGTGTCTTCATTATATTTATAAGGAGAAATAGACATTTAAAGAACTATCGATATTCCATAGTATATAATCGCTGGTAGCCCAGGGTTTCCTCAGCCACCTTAGATTGAAGCCACCGACACCGAGACCCATCCAGAAATCAAGGCAATATATTATTGTATGGTCATCTAATTTACATACATAGCTGCCAAGCATCATATTGATGCAACTATTGTAATTGTGTATAGTTGAGAATCTTGATCGGCGAGCACGGGTGACTCGCCGCCCGATCAGAACCAGGCCCGAGCGTACGGCGCGTCGCGTTCCGCGCGCGGCTCAAGGAGCCATCAGACCACCACAGATGGGGCTCAACAGGGCTGATGATACGGAGCCGCTCCGGCTCGAAGTGCAGGAGTTCCTCGGGGTGATTTTTAGTCACTAAGAGTCTGTCACTCCCTCCCGCTTCACCCAGACGGGAGAAGTAATTGGATGATTTTGATGATTGAAGATGAAAATTATTATAGTACTGGATAGTCTAGCTATCGAGGAACGCTATATAAGCTATAAAACATCACGCTAAGACGAATAAGCGCCGTGCAACGAGTGAAGTCGCGCGGAAGAAGGTAGCTAGCTATTATTTTATATGTGGCAAGGTAGAGTACTGTTATATCAGAATTCCCTATTAAGCATATAAAATAATAACGATGACAACGCTATTCTTTCACGTTTGTTCACAACGTGTATCTGAGTTGGCATTCTTACTATGTCGGGTTTTTTCCTATGGAATGCTTTGCAGTTAGTGTGGATTTGAACGTCATTGTGG